GTTTTGTTATTGGACAGTCTGATTTCTGTTAAAGTTCAGTCCCTGCTAACAAGCCCTGCTGATGGGCTCATCACTTGACTCTACATGATGCCTGTGCCATAAGGTTTGTGACAATAAGTAATTGAGTAATAAGCAGCTTTCTCTTTAGTCAGTTAGTCATCCTGTGTACGAATTGTATTCCGATTTTATTAGAAATTCTCCTCCACACATGATGATGATTTCACTGGTTTTGATGGCTGATTGAAATGATTTTAGATGCGTTACTGATCTTGTCTTTCTCTCAGGGATGTGGGTCTGCCTGCAGAGCCTGGGGACAAGCTTGATGGTAAGTGTGCTTTTATTTTGTCGAGCTGTTGCGTGTCTCTGGTGGATGTAGTCATAGCCCTCTCTGTCCCTCTCAGTGTCGCAGGGAGCCACAGCTAACCTGTCTCACGTCACTCCTAATAACTCGCTCGGCTTTGTTCAGGCCACGCCGTCGCGGGTGCTGCCGTCACCTACTGTCAACACACGGGAGGCGCTGGGTGAGCACGACAGTTTGTCTCTTTGCTGTCACGTCAGAGGTGTTTTTATGTCAAATGTAATGTTTTTGGATTTAAAGAGCTACTTTCATGTTATGTCTCTGTCCTTTAATCAAACTGCTCTTCACTGCTGCTCAGGCTTTGTCGGCTGTGGTAAAAACTCCTTCACTAAGTTGTTTTCTTCTTTGTGTCGACTCAGGCGTGATCATGGACATGTTCCAGGCTCCGACCTTACTCGAGGAACCGTTCAGCAGCACATCAGTCCTCCACGCTGCCGAGAAGGAGTCTGAAGCCGGATTCTGGATAGGCGGTAAATAGGCTCTGAACACAGTCGGGATAATTTTCACAGAATCTAACTGGATCCGGTCACCAGTGCTTAAAATTAATGTTCCTCCTGTTTGAGTAAAAGCAAACTCAGGCCTGAACCTCTGAGACTGATTCTTGGTCTCGCTCCAGATAACCTAATTATTCTGTCTCTGATGATTAGCAGGAGGCGCCTCCTCATTATCTAAGCCTCCCACCACAACTCCATTCACCATCTTTCAGGATGACGACAACAAAGAAAACGGCAGGTAAATATGGCCCCCACACTGTGGACACCCTAAACCGCAGCTGTGATGTTACACTCCCATGTACTTGTACCTGTGTGATATTCTGTCTGTGCTGGATGTCCTGTATCCATCCATCTTCTTCTACTTATCCAGGATAAGAGAATTTTGTGCTTGAGCGTGAGAAGACTCGGGGACTCTTTAGTGCTTTTAATTTTGAATATGAATGACAAGGTGGTAATTTATAGACTTTTTTTTAACAGTTGTTTACTCTGTTAGCTCATGTAGTGAATGCAATAAAAGAGCTTTCAGGAGGATTTAACTTTTGATTTCCACTCAGATGTTGATGTGATCTCCAGCTTCAGGTCTCACTGAACTCACACTGAGATTTAAATGTCATTACTAGGAGAGACCTAGTTCACAAACACTCAAGGCTTCTGGGAAATGGTGTTTGCTCACTTATTTTATGAGAAAAACCCACAAACCCCCATTTTTTTAATTATTCCTGTTCGTCGTGGACTCTTTCAGCTGCTGGGGTCAAGGTGCAGGACGGCACACATTTCATTCTGTCGTGTGTTTTTTGTAATTTAGTTCATCTTAATGTTTGTGCTGCTGTGAAACCCTGAGGATAAAATGAAGTGCATCTTCATGACAGCCAAGTGTTCCTGTTATTTTGTCCCTGTGCTGTTTAGTGCCGCTGCTCCTGCTGATGCCGAGAAGCCTAAAGGAGTCAGAGCTCTGGCTGAAATCCCGGTGTCGAAGGCAGACAAACCCAACGTGAGTGAATTTTCTCATGTTAAGCAAAATTCCAGATTTCTGGACGAGTGTTTGGTGTGTTTGTTTCTGGTTCGCATCCTCGTGTTTTTCTGATCCTCATCAGGAGACTCCTTCAGATCTGATCCCAGATGAGAGCACCATGTGGGGAGCTCGCTACAACTCGCTCAACTCGCTCGCCGCCTGTCCCAACAGCACCACAGACTTTGCCATGCTGGCTCAGTTCGTCTCCACGCCATTCACTCGCAAAACCTTTATCAGCAGCGACTTCCTCGAGGACCGAGGTAAGAGGAGCCAAACCTGCGGCTTATTCCTCCCGCAGCCTCCACACCTGTCTCATTTTAATAACGAGCTGAAAATAATTTAAAGTTTCCCTAAATAATAAGTGTTTCTGCCCCACAGAGAATAAATGTGATGAAGGGGAAGCTGATGAAGAAGCTTACCTGAGGCGTCAGACCAAAAAGCTGAGGTAATCAGTCTTCAGGTATCCACTGCCCATTCGTGTCACTGTTATTAGTGCAGATGTCACAGATGTGTCCTCTCCTCTGTTAGCCCCATCCTGGAGCAGAGTCCGACCGACCAAAGCACCGTCGGCCAGACGGTGCCCTCCTCTGCCAGGCAGGGCACCATCGTGGGAGAGGAGTTTGCAGCGGCCCAGCACTGCCTTACTGCGTCCTCACTCACCATGGTGCAGCCTCCTCCTCCCGGCATGCTGTCCTTCAGGGACCAGACGCTCTGTCCTGCCGACTCCTCTAGGACAGCGGGGCCTGGCTGGGAGGTGTATGCAAGCCCCGAGCAGCCACCCAAACAGGCCTCCTTCATCTCAGGCAGACCCATGAGCGAACCTTTTCAGATCATGGAGGACCTAGAGACCCCCAGCAGCCCCCAGCAAGCCCAGAATCAGGTCTGTGATGTTCCCATGAGCCCCGAGGGTGCTCTCAAACCAGACTGGCTAGCCATCAGGAGCCCAGAGGCCATGGCCGAGCCAGACCTGGATGCCTTCCTGAGTCCCCGTCAGCCCAAGAATCTGGACTTCCCCATGAGTCCAGGGCACCCACAGCTCTGTGCTGATGTTCCCATGAGCCCGACATTAATCAGCAGGGAGGACGAACCCATGAGTCCAGAGAGGGGGCTGAGGCTGAGCGCTGACATCTCAATGAACAGTGACACGCCGCAGAAAGCCCAGACGGGGGCGGTCCAGCTGATGTCGGATCCCTGGGACACCGAACTGATCTCCAGCCTGCTGTCTGGACTCAGCCCGCCTCTTGCCACCCATCCGCGCTGCACCACCTGGCAGTGCAACATACCGAACATCACTCCAAAAATGACCATCAGCATGGGTAAGATCTGCAGCGCCTGCTCCGTGGAAGTCTGGCTTTGATCCAGCTGCAGAGAAAAACTGTACGCTGTGTTGATTGAAACGATGAATGTTTGTGTCATGACAGGAAAGGAGTCCCTCAGAGTGGACTGCGTTCTTGGAGAGGGAGCCTTTGCGACAGTTTACCAGGCCACGAACCCTGCGACCTTAGAGAAGACCGTTTTAAAGGTGAGGCTGCAGATGAAGAGTGCCGCGTCCCTGTCTCTATGTTACTCAGCTCATTTTTTTTAATGTAGTGGTGAAACAAATCTTATTGAATCATCTCAGAAATGCTTCACTGAACCGTGTTCTCAGAGACATTTGGACACGACCGCAGGATTCACATGTGTCCTCGCTGCAGGTTCAGAAGCCGGCCAATCCCTGGGAGTTTTACATCAACACCCAGCTCGACGCTCGGCTGAGGCCCGACGTCCGTCACCTCTACAGCAGTATGCACTCAGCTCACCTCTTCCACAACGGGAGCGTGCTGCTCGGTGAGCTTCACAGCTACGGCACCCTGCTGGTCAGTTACCGTCAGTGTGGATTTATGGATATAAATTTACTTTTGTATATATGTTTTTAAAATCCAGTAATTTGTTGGTTTCTTAGTTTTTATGCCATAATTTCGTATTTGATCTGTGTTTACGTAACTTGACTTTTGTTACAGAATTTTCTAGTGGTCACTTTCCAGTGAATCAGACAATAAGTTGAGCACATCCATAACATGGATGACAAAGACTGTTAATCAGTATGAAGGAAGAGAAACTTTAAATACTAGAGTTTTGCTTGCCACAGCTGAGCTTGGACATGTGGGTCGGTCTGTTGGCACGGTAACCTCACAGCAGCCGTGTTATTCGTCAGATGATGTCATTAAAAATGCTCCAAAAAGGCTAAAACAGCACACAGTCCAGACGTCCAGTTCAGGGGCTCTAATTAGTGGAATTGAAGCCTAGCAGCCTATTTGGTATCAAATTTTACAAATACTTAATAATGAAAACAGTTCTCACTCTTCCCCCCCCCCATAAGTTGTTATGAGGGTTTAAACCATTGTTGTGGAGTCTGCAGCGACTATTCAGTCGGTCGGTTTAAAGCTTCTCTGTTTCACTGTAATGCTGTTGCTCCACCTGCAGAACGCTGTGAACATGTACAGAACCCTCAGTGACAAAGTGATGCCTCAGCCCCTCGTCATGTACTTCACCGTCTGCATCCTGCACATGGTGGAGCTGCTGCACAGGATCCGCATCATCCACGCCGACATCAAACCTGACAACTTCCTGCTGGGAGAGAGGTACCAATCACACGCTGCTTTTATCTCTGCGCTGCTCGTATTTGCAGCTTAAAAGTGTCAGAGGTGAGGAGGGCAGGCCCGGTCCTCCCCTCGCAACACTTCAGTTTCAGGCTCTGTTGAAACGCCTCGTCATCACTCGTGTCCTTCAGGTTCTTGGAGAACAAGCGTTTCGATTCAGAGAGCGCGGACCACGGCCTGGTTCTTGTCGACCTCGGGCAGAGCATCGACATGGAGCTCTTCCCAGCAGACACTGCATTCACTGCCAAGTGCCTGACGTCGGGCTTCCAGTGCACAGAGATGCTGAGTGGAAAACCGTGGAACTACCAGGTGAGCACAGCAAGGACAAAAAGAGGCATTAACATACACAGGGAGGGTCGAACACTGTCACGTTTCAGCAACATTGGACAGTAGTGCGGTTTTTCCTGAGCCGCAGCTTCTCTCATAACTCTGTATGTGTTTGAGAGCTAAGAGTCTCTGTGGGTTAGCGCCCGGTGTTTGTTGTTTCTGTCCCTGGAGTCGTGTACGGGGAAACTTTGTAGTGTTGTTAATCTAATGGAAAGTCCAAAACTCAGCTTATCAAGTTTCCAGGTTCATTAAAAAGGTCTTGCTGGTCTCATTTTCCTCACGATAATTCCTATTTAGATTTGCACAGCTGATAGTTTGTGATGGTAGCCTGTGTCTTTGTATGATGAGTTTCATCTCTGGAGGTCACTCAGAGTCAGCTGCCTGACCTTAGAAAAGAGCATGATGTTATGGGAAATGATCTTGTAGCCAAAATAAGCTGTATGAGCTGAGTTCTCTCCATTTAAAGGGGATTATAGGGTTCAGCTGATCATCACTCTCAGGCGTCCCTCAGACACTCAGAGGAACATCGGGAAGTGTCATGAACACATTTCATGACCCGATGACTGTTTTTGATGGTTAATAGGAGGCTATTTTCAGCTGTGCCTTCATATAACAGATCACTTCCTGACACAAAGCCAAAAACCTTGTCGCCTTCTGTTCTCAAACAAAGAGCTTTTGCATGTCACCCGATGTGTGAACCACGACATCTGGAGCCCCACATGTTTTATAGAAATAAACATCTGGAGATTTTGTTGAAGACTCCTTTTAAAGATGGAAAACGAGTTTTATTCTGAAGGTCTGACTGTTTGCGTTTCAGACCGACTACTTTGGGATTGCGGGGACCGTGTACTGCATGCTGTTTGGGACGTACATGCAGGTGACCAACGAAGGAGGCGTGTGGAAGACAAACGGCGTGTTTAGAAGGTGAGTGCTCAAAGGACCTCCCATTTGTCTTTATTTGACCCCGTTTTTGGTGCATATGTGTGCTGATGGTGTCTCCCCCCCCCCAGAAACCCTCACAGCGACCTGTGGCTGGACTTGTTTCACACGCTGCTGAACATTCCGGACTGCAGCTCGCTGCCGAGCCTGCGGAGCCTCCGCTGCCGGATGAACACCGTTCTGCAGGAGAACTATGGCAACAAACTACCCACGCTTAAGAGCCGGTTGGTGGTGCTGCTGCTGGAGAACCGCAAGACGGTGCGGAGATAACGGATGTGTCTCACTCCGAAAAAAGGCTGCTGTTTATCCTCCGTTTACACTCGTTTAAGCGAACACTCTTTGACACATCGGACTGTGAACGCGTCACGGGAGGAGTGAAGCAAACAAATGCATAAATGTATATTTCTCTTAGGTCACTTTTTAAATTGAATTTGTTCATTTTGTGAAACAATTTTATTTTGTTTTTTTTCCCTTGTAAAACAATAAACGATAGAGTCTGTTAGAAGCTTCACTGTAACACGTTTTTCACGTTTTATAGTGTCAGGGTTGTTTTTGACCTTTTTCTTCTCTCATTAAAACAACCAGACAAATAAAAACGCATAAAAATGTGATGTTGTTGTCTCACTGACAATCTCAGGAAGAAAGTGAGGCAGGAACTTTGGTAAATGTCCCAGCCTGAAAAAATAGGGATTAAGATTAAGATGAGCAGGAGGCAAACATAAACTGATAAAGCATAAATGTTGACACGCTTTTATTCTAAATTTTAAAAACAGCATTGATTTCAGCTTCTTTCATTCATTTTATGATGAGAAACATTAAACATCAAAATGTTTTTGTGTGATTTTAGTGGAAATCTCAGATGGTCGTAGTTCATGGGTTTATTTCTGGATTATCAGTCACATGTAAAGATATTTGTACCTGTGAGTGTTTTATGTTCACTGTAGACAAGTTGTGATGTTTCATGTTCTGTTAAACTGTGTTTATTTTTATCTTTCTGTCATTGACGCAGGTGTAATAATAATTTTAATAATAACAAGCATGCCTCACTGAAAAGGAGTAGAATTATGTCAAAGTTATGTTGAAAGAAAATGGATTTCATATATAAAGCTTCATGTTTTGTCTATATTTTTACATTTAAATGAAAGATAAGGGGGCTTTTCTGATCAGATTATCCCCTATCAGCAACAGTGGGAAGGAAAAACTCCCTTTTAGCAGAACGAGACAGAACCAGGATCACAGACAAGCAGCGATCTTCTGATAGGAGCAAAGATGAGAACGAAACAAACCTGAGACGAGCGAAATCAAGTTAATGAAAGGGAGTGGTGACGTATAAAATTCTCAGTGCATCATGGGAAGTCTTGCAGCAGCCTGAGTCTGGCAGCATAACTAGAGGATTGTGATGATGATATTGATGATGGTCACCTGATTCAGTAATAACTACAGTCCCAATCAAAAGTTTAAGACCACTTGAAAAATGGCAGAAAATATTATTTTGAATGGTTCGATCTTAACAAGGTTCCACGTGGAGCTTAAACATGCAACAAGAAGAAATGGGGAGTATCAGGTAGTCACACTGTCATGAAACTTTCCCTTTTTGAACGTGGTCGGGTTGAAGTGCATAAGCAGGGTCTCTCACAAATCAAGGCTGTTACTGGTGCCGACTGCAGCCCCATAACCATCAGACTGCATCTGAGACTGAAGGGCTTCAAAAACAAAAACCTTCTTCAAAGGCCTCGTCTCCTCTCATATGGAAAAGAAATAGAAAAATCTTATAAAACACTTGCATAAGATTTGGCTTACTCCATATAGTGAATCATATAAGGCATATGTGATTTACTTATGAAAGTGGCCGCTTTCTCGTTACTTTCATATATTGTTTTAGTAAGTATCCAAAACATACAAGTTTCATTTATATAATTTTTCAAGGGATCTTATATCTATTTTCCCTCTTGTATGCTTTTCATACACGTTTCACACAAGACAGATACAAACTTTATATGATTTCTATATATCTTTTCCATATGGGCTTGAACGCCACAGAACTGACCGTTTGGACTTTGCAGAAGACCAAAGGGACATTGAAAGGTGGAAGAAAGTTTTTTTCTCTGAGGAGAAAAAATTGAACATTGTTGGTCCTGAAGGTTTCCAATGTTACTGTCATGACAAGCAGATCCCAGCTGAAATGGTCTCTGCAACATCTGGACATAGCCAGCGGCCGTTTGACGCCTGCACCTCCTAAAGCTCCATTGTTCCACTGAAGGAAAAAGCACCCCAGATCATTATGGCTCCACTATGGCGCATAGAAAACATCCCTCATGACTGAAGGCCCTCGTCTGTGTGGTAACGACTGGGGTTTTCAACAGGACAATGCCACAGTACACAATGCCAGCAGGAGAAGTTAGTTCTTCCAGGAGAATAACATCACTCTTTTTGACCATCCTGCGTGTTCCCCTCATCTCAGTGAGATTGAGAACCTTTGGGGAAGTTTACAAAAATGGACAACAGTTCCAGACAGTAGATGCCCCTCGTGTGTTCCTAAAGTTTTGATCAGCTGTAAAACAGCCTGTTTCAGTTTAAGCTTTGTTTTCAATAAATTGCATGCTCATTAAATGTTTTGTTTCACTACCATTTCTTCTTGCTGCATGTTGAAGCTGTACTTGGAACTTGTTAAGATCCAACCATGCAAAATATGATTTTTTGCCATTTATCAAGTGGTCTTAGACTTGATCAGGAGTGTGTTTACTGTAGATGATTCAATATTTAAAGTCTTTTTTAT